GTGTACTTGTCCACCCTCGTGGCTCATGGCAAAAGCTGTACTCGCGTAAACATCAACAACCTTTCTTTCCAAATCAGCAATGGACTTTTTGACAAAAAAACTGGACAATGCTAATCCAATTGTCTACGGCAAGAAAAAAGACCGCATTTACTCCAAAGCCGATACCGACGATAATGTCACCGATGAGATTGACGCACGGGAAATCTTTGATCTCATTCGAGGCATCAAAGACCCAGAACACCCTCTCACATTGGAAGAACTCAATGTCGTCGATGAGAGTCATGTTACCGTGAACAGCAAGAACAAGAATATTGAGGTCATCTTTACGCCCACCATTGAGCACTGCTCTCTGGCCAGCCTGATTGGCCTGTGTATTCAGGTCAAACTGCTCCGCTCTATTCCTGCACAGTACAAAGTATCTGTTTGCATTGCACCGGGCTCACACTCTACCGAAGATGTGGTGAATAAACAGCTGGCAGATAAGGAGCGAGTGGCCGCGGCCCTGGAGAACAATCAGCTGCTAGAAGTAATCAACCAGTGCCTCGTCGATTCACTTTAAATTTATTCTTTATTTTGTGTTGTTTCTACTTGTATATAAAAAATTTCAAAAAAATTTAAAGCTTGGATCTGTTTCCAGGCTGTCCTAGCATTGACAGCTTACAGAAAGCCTTGACTGCACTTGCTCTGACCAAACGTTTTCGATCAGCCAATGAATGCTTTAGACTTGCAAGAAACTCTACTTTAAGGTTAAGCAGATCCTGCTCCTTTGAGGTGTCGAGGATGAGACAGATGCAGTCAAGGGCCTTTTTTCGAATTGTCATTTGCCTACTGTGACAAGCCAACTTGATCACCGACCGAAAGATGGGCACAATATGAGCCTGCACTTGGCTGTACTGGTTCTGGAGGATGCTCTCGATCAAGGCGAGGCTAATCAAGTTGACGTCTCCAAACTGGCTCACTTTTAGACCGGTGATTATGATTGTCAGGTGCTTGTCCAATTGTCCTGCCAACACCTCGGATGGGATAAAGCGAAGGTGTGACACTAGCAGATGTAGAAAATTGTACTTTTTGGTTTGATTGTATCGGTCGAGGATGAGCTGGTGCAAGTCTTGCGAAAAGACGCTTGACGGAGAAAGCACATTGGAAAAGGGCTCTAGTTCATTTGAGTATAAAATATCGACCAACTTGAGAGTTTGCTCGTTGAGAATGTCATTATTAAGCAACTGTAGGAAATATTCGACATGTGATTTGAAAAGAGCATGGTGACGAACAAAGAGTGTTTGCGAAATCCAAATTAAAAT